GGAATGTTGAAACTTCCATTACATTAAGGCACAAAACACAAAATGGTTACACATTTTGCTCACTCATGTAACAGCTGATTTCCACCTTTCTTTTGCACAGCTAGCCCACCAGCCTGTATATCACTTGTTCTTTTTCATCATCTCTGGAAATTCCTTTGACATCACTGGCTACAGGAATGTTCAAAGAAGTACCAAGACGAATGAAAAAGATGTGTTTCTACCATGAGAGAAGAGCCAGGGGTAAGTGTGCTTGCTAGCTACTTTCCAACAAGACACATAGTTAACGCAAAAGCTATGTGTAAGCGTTGATTAGTTTCAGTGAAATTCAGCAGCACCCTGGCATTGCTGCAGCCGGCAGACTGCTGGATGGCAGAGGAATGTAGCCATCATCGGGAATTTTGGTTTTTAGCTCTGATTGCTCTTAAGAAATGTTTCAGTTGTATCTTACGATTTGTTTGATATCAAAGGGGTTAACAGTGACATTAGACCAGCAGGTCCTGTGTTAAGAACAATGACACAGTATTTCAATGATATCCATAACTATACCGAAATTGAGAAAACATTTACCTTAAGCTCTGCACTAGGTCTTGGTTCTTATAGTAAGTGGTTCCTTGAAGCGGGCCTGATCTTTCTTTTTTAAAGGTAAGTCATTCGATACAAGCTCCTCTGAAGAGGAAGATGTAATCAAGTTCTGTTGTTGAAGAACCACCTTATTGCAGCTTCTTATCAGTCCACACTGGGAACTGAAAGGTCTGAAATTTTCCAGACAGATTAAAAGAAAAGAGAATGTTTCTGCCAGGTGTCAGGGCAGCTTGCCAACAAGTATTTTACTGAAAAACTATTTAAACTATCCTGACTGATTTCTTAATTTTGTTTGATCCCAATTTTCTCTCTCTTTCCTGCTGGTTTGTTATGGTCATAGCACAAAATCTCACTATAACAGAAAGAAGCCAGTTGCAGTTGATGAAGACAGGGTGTAATTAACCAAAGTTACAATTCCTTTGTTGTTGAGGCTTTGGGTTTAACCATGAATTATGGGACCAGTCCTACTTTTATGATCATCATTGGGAAATCAAGCCCTGAAATTCTTCCTAAGAGACGTTTGTACATGTTGGATGTACGCTCTGACTCAGTTTTCAGTTAAATCTTGTTCCAAGCACAACCCTAAGAG